TGCTACGCAGTTTTTCCTCAGCTTTTTCCCGCCAAAACTAGGCTGCCTCAGAGCACCTTAATCTAAGTCTCCCCAGTTGGCACGTTCTTCTACTAGTGCACCTCCCCGTGAGGTACACCTAGAAGATTACCTACGCGCCTCAGACTGTCCCTGACTAGACCCCCCTTGCTCTGGGCACACTTGCCAAGGCTTTGCTGGACCGCTGGACAACTGGACCAGTCGTATCCCACACGCTGGACACCAATCAATGTGACAAACCCAGACCTACTGGGATCTATCACACAGTTACTAAGCTGCCACCAACCATTCCCTATAATAAGTCACACAGACCAGGGATGGATTTTTAAACAATAAAAGAATAAGGTTTATTTTAAATACAAACAGGGTAAATAAGACAATCAGGTGAATAAAATAAAGTAACGTGGCTTATTCTCACACACACAAGCATACAGTTTTGTTCACCTAGAACCTTTAACTTAAAGCACAGACCCTGAACCCATCAGTTCTGGCTAACCCACAGACCCCTGAACCTTTCAGGTTGGTACTCTGACACACAGTAGTACCCTGTCAGACACCCAGACTCCCACAACAGCTTCTTCTTCCCCAGCTGCTGCTTCGTCCCAACCCAGTGTCTCACAGTCTGTCTCAGCATCTCCCTTCACCACACAGGCATCACATATTTATACAGTACAGCCCCTCCTCCTGATGTCCCGCCTTCCACTCCCCATAGGATGGAACTTTCCCTCCAAACCCATGACAGACAGGTAACATCAGTGCTGTTATGTAACAGACGCCCATATGGGGGTCATTCCCTTCTGCTCCACCTTTTCTGCCTCTAGTTGTCTTTTTTCCCCCTCAAGCCTGAAAAGGATGCTTGTGAAATTTCAGAAGGGGACACATTGGAGGAGTGGTGGAGGAGGGAGGTGAGCCGGTCTTCCCCGAATCAAAGCTGACCTCCTTCTGGGCTTTGTAGAATCCCTTGGCCATGTGCCCCATTGAGCTAGCTGAAGTGGAATGCGTTCTGCCAATGGAGACCCTTGGCATAATCTCTTGCCACATCGTTTTGATCTCCCCTCTGTAACCCCTTGACCAGAGAGAAAGGGGAGGTCTGCTTGGACATAAGTGTGTTCACTGGGTGCTAGATTGCTGCCAGGCAGGGTCAACCCCCCCCCCCATTCTGGAAAGAGGGGGAAAAGCTTTGCTCGTTTTTAATTTCCCGACTCCATTGCAAGGTCTTGGGTGGGTGGGGTTCAAGCTCCCATCTTGCTGCTGTGAGACACAGTCCTTTGTAAGGAAACAGCTATAGAATCTTAACCAGAGTTTCCATTTTAAGAGAGTCACTAAAGCGAGGGCATATAAACCTGCCTTCTTCAGAGCCAATGAAGACCCTTGGCATAATCTCTTTCCAGCACAGATTGCTGTCTTTTCTTGTCGCGTTGTTTTGATTGCCTCTCTGCAACCCCTTGACCAGAGAGAGAGAGAGAAAGCGGAGGTCTGCTTGGACATAAATGTGTTCGCTGGGTGCTAGATCGCTGCCAGGCAGGGTCAGACCCCTCCCCCAAAACCTATAGTTTTGGAAAGAGTGGGAACAATTTGCTCGTTTTTAATTTCCCGAATCCACTGCAAGGTCTCGGGGGGGGGGTTCAAGCTCCCATCTTGCTGCTGTGAGACACAGTCCTTTGTAAGGAAACAGCTATAGAATCTTAACCGGGACCCGGTCTTCTTTTCTGGACTGCAGCATAAGCGTCTCACGTCATGTCCATGCTGTGGAAGGTCTCCAGTGAGCAGCTTGGGGGGTAGACCAGGTGGTTTTTCACCATTTCTGCTATCACTCCTCCTAGGAGCCGAGGCCCCCTTCTTCTCTGCCAGAGGGCTAACCCATGGGCTCGCTTTACTGTATGTTCAGCTTTTGCTGGCAACCTGGCCGTGGCCGGCCCTCCGTATGGTTACGGTCCCCCCTAGCCGGTACGGAGATCCGACTCGGATGCATGAAGTGAGAAAGGATACCGTCCCCGGCTGTTGAAAACATGGTTCGTCAAGTTGTCAGGTTTCCAGGACCTTCACCAGGGGATGGTCTGTGTACTTTTGGTTATCAGTCTGTGGTCAGGAGAAGAGTCGGTGGAAGAAGAAGGCAAAGCTAAGAGTCTCAGGGTGTGGATTTCTGCGGCTCCTTGGAAATCCTAGAACAATAAAAAGTCTGCCAGGTGCTCCAAAGGTCATCTGTTCAAACCCCACAAATGCAAGGAATGGCTTGCGTTACTATTCTTTTCCCGAGGCCCTTGCATGGTTGTGGCCATATCTCTCGCTGTTGAGAGATACGTCTTCATGCATGGAGGCGGATTTCCTGCGTAGCATTGCAACGTGAGAGTCGGATCTGAAACTGGAGTCAAACTCTCCCGTTCCTCAGGTTTCGGCATCTGACCGAATTCTAGATAGCTCGTGTGCTTCGGCCAGCCTGGGCCTTTTAATCCACTGAGACCTTTTACATTTGGAGAAACAGGGGTGTAATAAAGTACAGTATCTGGTGCTCCATAGAGCCCTGCCCGGGCTTGTACCTCTGCTATACCTGGATATATCTTCCAGGTATATCTGCGATATCTTCCCACCTGGCACCTTTCCCCTCTCCCTTTCCCTTTCTCTCCTCCTCCTCCTGGTCAATGACACTGCTTTTCTGACCCCGTTTCCGACAGCTCTACTTGAGTGGGGAGTGCAAAGCCTCTGGGAGCGATCTCGCCCTGCGGCTGTTGACCGAGATGGATATCCATCAGGTATTGCCCGCCACTTCTGCTGGGATGGGTTTTGCATGCGTCCTGCTTCTCTTTGTGTCTGTGTGGGAGGAACGGAATGCTTTCTGCCAATTTCTGCACACTTCCTTGAAAGACAGCTGTGTTCTAGGAAAGGAGAAGGCATGTAAAACCTTCGAGGTGGGACGTGAGTGGCATGGATGGAGGCTGGCCGCCCGGGAGATAATGGGCAGAATTGAGAGAGGGGCCAGAAGAGGTAGGTTTGCACGGGCAGAACCTGGAGCTGGGTCTCCAGCGTGTAAAGCCTGTCCACTCTACAGACCTGGGAGCAGCGTGTTGGCCAGAAGAAGCTGCCTTGGGAGAGGGGTGTAGCACCCTTCTCACTTTGGCAGATAAGCGTCCGATGTCTTGGGAATGGTGAACAACGTCCGCCTTTCTGGTGTGTCCTTGGGAGAGGGGTGTAGCACCCTTCTCATTTTGGCAGATAAGCGTCCGAAGTCTTGGGAATGGTGGAGGACAACGTCTGCTTTTCCGGTGTGCTTGCCTGCCTGCTTGCCTGCCTGCCTGCTTTCCGCCCTCCCTGTCTTCTTGCCATGGATGTGGCCTTGTTAGTTCAGTTCGTGACCCGGCGGAGCCCCGTGCCCATTTCCTTTTTCTGTCGCTTTCTCTCACTCCATTACTGGACAAAGCCTGAGCCTCCTCCACGCTTTGACTTAGCATGCCTGGTTCTTCCCTCTTACCTGCCTGCCTCTCGGTATGCGGCGACACCACCAGGTCACGGCAACGGGTTCAGTCGGCTGCATGCTGCTTTCCAAGCACGCCCGCATGGAACCAGAGCTGGCGTCTGTCTTATCAAAGCCGTTGCTCTGTGTTGACCAACAGCTGTGTTGGAATACTTTGAGACGGCTGGTTGAGGATGTAAACATGGTCCCTAGTTCTTCAAGCCAGGCGGATGCCTTTGGTATCTGGAGAGGTGTCGTCCAGAAAAAAAGGGGGGGCTTGGTGGGGATTATTTTCCCAGGCTTTGACTTTCCCTTCCATGAGAGAGGTTCTCTCTGTGATGAACTCAGAAGCCTTGGTGTATCTCGTGGACACCTCAGATGGTGGCCAAGGTTGGCTGCTTGGAGCAAGCCGGGTCCTGCTGAACCCTCCAAAGAACAAAATGAACAGGTGGGAAGGGGGGTGGCCAAGTCAGGCAAGTTTTGGCCAGTCACAAACAAGAAGGCATGGGCGGGGAGGTTAAAAGGGCGACCAGTAAATCTTAAATCAAGAAAACACCCCCAAACATGCACTCATTCATATGCACAGGCATACCCTCTGCTCAAAAAAAAAAAAAGAAAGAAAGAAAAAGAAAAGAAAAGAACAGGAATCAGCAAAGACCTGGCCCATTCAGGAAAGCCAACACTTCGCAACCGTTCCGCAAAGTTTTGCCATTGGAGTTGGAAGATCCAAGAAGCTTGGTTTAAAAACAACAACACAGCCCTTCAAGAAGTTGGGTGGATTTCAGTTCTGCTGAGCTCAGAAAGCACAGTTTCCTGTGTGTTTGGGTCCCTTCGTGATGTCCTGTTGTGTCCCCACACCCCCAAACATGCACTCATTCATATGCACAAGCATACCCTCTACTCAAAAAAAAAAAGAGCAGGAATCAGAATCAGCGAAGACCTGGCCCATTCGGGAAAGCCAACACTTTGCAACTGGTCTGCAAAGTTTTGCCATTGGAGTTGGAAGATCCAAGAAGCTTGGTTTAAAAACAACACAGCCCTTCATGATGTCCTGTTGTGTCCCCCTTGAAATATCGAAACCCTCTCATTTCTGTGGTTTGCTGTCGCTGGAGATGGCGAGAGAGCATCCACATTACGTTTTTGAAGAATGAAACCCGCCTTCCAATACGGATTAAGTTCTCAAGTCAAGACCCCACTGTATTGAAACACTCTCATTTCTGTGGTTTGCTGTCGCCGGAGATGGTGAGAGAGCATCCACATTATGTTTTTGAAGAATGAAAGCTAGGGACCAACTTTAGTCTCCATAGCCTTTGCAAGGCTTTGGGTCATGTGGTTGTTGTGGGTTTTTCAGGCCTCTTTGGCCATGTTCTGAAGGTGGTTCTTCCTAACGTTTCGCCCGTCTCTGTGGCCATAGGCATCTTCAGAGGCACAGGAGCGTCATCGTTGCCGCAGAATCCCACGGCCACTCTTTGGGATTCCTTCCAGGACATCCTTGCAGGCGTTTCAGAGTATTAACCCCGTTACCCCAGCTACCTCCCAGTCTCGCTGCGGCTGTTGGGACCTGCAGCCCCACAGCATCCTGGTTTGTTCTCAGACCATCATTCCAACCAACCGTGTTTCCTTGTACATATTTGGACAACGTACCAGAACTGTAGTCAGCTTTAAAATTTAAACTGGCTCCTCCAGGCGGCCCAGACAGCATGAACGACTGGCATTCAGCTCTGTGGAGAGTGAAATGGATGCCTTTCCCGGTAGCTGGCATTTTTGGCTGCCTTTTTAAAAAATGAAACAGAATTTAGTGACATCCGGGAGAAGTCAGCAGGCGGTCGAGGGAGGCAAGGAACAGAGATAATCTCTTAAGAAAAGCAAGGTGATCCCGCCACAGCAGGTAAAACAGCGGAGAAGTATTCCCCATTTAGAATCTCCCCGTGCACGTTAATTATTATGACTGCCTGGCCAAGCACCGAATCCATTGCAGCTTATCCCTGCTGGTGTTTGATTTCACTCACCCGCAGGCCTGCAGAGTTGCAATCAAAGTTGGGAAATTCCGTTTCCACCTCACTGCCTCTCAGGGCCCTTAAATACCAGAACCAAGCGGGAACAGCCTAACCCGTCTGAAAGACGTGCAGAGGATAAGATGCAGAGGTTCTCGGGGTCAAGTTCCAGCAACTAAAACTGGGCAGCAAATAATTCTGCTCTGGCGCTGAGCCTCCAAGTGTCCCCCCCCCTTTCTATGGCTAGAAACAAAAGTTTGTGACTTGCCAACAGAAGCAAAAAAAATAAGCCTGCCGCTTATAGACCACCCTTATCACACTTAAGGCAGCTTACAATTTAATTATGCAGGCTACAAGTTGCACCCCCAGCAAGCTCAGTACTCATTTTATTGACCTTGCAGGCGAAGGGCATTTTCAGCCCAGGCTACAAGTTGCACCCCCAGCAAGCTCGGTGCTCATTTTACTAACCTTGGAAGGATAAGTCACTTCCAATTTACGGTGACCCTCGTGGTGCTTTCAAAGTCTACGAGCGAGTAGAAGATTGGTTTACCAGTACCACCCTGCGGTGTGCTTCCATAACTGAACAGTGATTTGAACCCGGGTCTCCCAAGTCTTGGTCCATCGCTCTGTCCGCTGTACCACAGTGGCCCTCATGCCCACAAAACCAACACATTCTCTTATCTACCAAAAGCCTTTTCCCTGCTTATGTTTGTAGGCAGCGAGAAGTGAGGTTGGGGGGGAAGTACCTTCTTGCAGCCTTGAAGGCAGAGTTTTGGAAAGTTCGTTTTTTTGGAGCGCAGCTCCCCAAACCCTCCCGCTGTCTTAGCCGTTGGCCATGGGAGTTGTAGTCTCAAAAAATGGCACTCCCACATTCTGCGGAGGGTCCCACGGTGTCATTCGTACCATGTCGGCCGTGCAAGGGATCGGGGGAGGCAAGTCATGTCCCTGAGAAAGTTGGGACTTCCTTTAAATCCGGCATGTGGCTACGGAGAGCAGCCCTCCTTAACCAGGCGGCCTGCAAACAGCAAGTCCCATCATCCCCATGCCTTGTGCAGAAGGCGGATGTATGGAATGTGCCTGTCAACCACAGCAGTGCAGAAAGCGCCATCACCTTGCAGGCGAAGGGCATTTTCAGCGGCCTTCAATTAATGACCTCCAAAAGGTCCCCATCAGGTCTGGAAGGCTGTGGCTTTCTTTACAGAGACCATCCACCTTCCTCTTTTGATCTTCCCACTTTTCCCAGCATTTTTGTGTTCCCCAGTGAGTTAATGATTTTGTACCTGTGTCCTTGACGCACACCAACTCAAGACCTGATGGTGCAGGATTTAAGCAGCAAGTTGTAACCTAGCTGTAATTCACCACTGCATTTTATGCCGTTGCATTTATACTAATGCAACTAATCAGCAAGTTAGTTTTGACCATTATGGTACTATTGCATGGAGTACACCGTTTGCAGGCAGACTTAGAGATTCAAGTACAAGGTGGACCGAACAACTGCATACACTTCGACTCCTGCAAAACTAGGTAGAGGTGCCCATACCAGAGAATGAGTTTCTGTGTGTGCACAGATTGAAATACAGAATAAGCTGGATTTGATGAGATGTACTGGATCTTGATAGGTTTGAGCAATGGGTTGAAAGCAACAGGATAAAAATTTAACAGGGATGAGTGCAAAATTCTACACCTAGAAAAAAAAATCTGCAGTTCCACAGGGATAAGTGCAAAATTCTACACCTAGAAAAAAAATCTGCAGTTCTAGGATGGGGGATACTTGAATCGGTAATACTACGAGTGAGAAGGATCTTGGAATTGTTGTAGAGCACAAGCGGGATATGAGCCAACAGTGTGTGGTTGCAAAAATGGTAAATGTAATTATAGGAATTTTAGAAGTACAGTCTCTAAATCCAGTGAGGTACTAGTCCCCCTTGATGACCTTAGAAGCCCCTTCAAACTCAATGGTTTTATGATTCTGTGGAATTCTTTGGAAAGACTGCTGCTCCGCGTCATCACCCACCCACCCCGAAACCCTACTCACAGTTTGTAAGAAAGAAGGGGTCCTCCCCAAGCTTCCACCAGCTGGATGGCGGAGGTGGGTAGGGAATGAAAAGATTGCCTCAAATAAGCAGCTAACCCACTGACTACAACCATCCTGGAAAACGCCTCTTTTGGGGAGGCGTCTGCTTAAATAAACGGGCCAAGTAGTAACGGCTCAGATGCAACTTTTGCAAAGTCATGAAGGAAAGGGCGCTCGAGATAAGTGGAGAAAATGGACTTCCACCGTCCAAGGCTATCTTTACTTCTTCTGTAATTGCCTGCGTTATTCAAGTATTTATGTTGCCGTGACACTTTGATCGGCCTGCATGTTTTTTGGGGGATCCAGCCGCTTGAGGTGACGGGGGCCAGCCGTTTTGCTTGGTGTTTTCCCGTTGCTTCCTCCCGTCTAATCAAACGGAAGACCCTTGGGGCGGCTTCTCTTCCGTGCTTCCTCTCCACCCCGTCGGTGTTTCCTCCTGAAAGCAGAGAAGCTCCATTCCTACAGCATGTTTTGTTTGCATCATACGAGACGTCCCCGTGATGTAAACACCCATGAGCAGTCGCTCTTCCCGTTTTGCTCGGCCTCCCTGGGGTCTCGTTCGGCATGCCGGTCGGTTTCTGAAACGTGAGTTTGCAGAAAGCGGGAAGAAGCCGTATGAGTGTTCCTCACCATCTTAGATGAGTCTTCACAGAGATCCAATCCTCAAATACAAATAGGTGTGGATAACTGACACTCACATACCCTTTCCATTTGCCTTCAGGTTTTTGACAACAGTTCTGATGCCATCCCCATCCACGCCGTCCGCGTGCTTACCTCGATCATGAGTCACTCGCCCTCAGCCAAGGTAAGTTCTCCCGCCGCAGACAGCGCTTTGAATCACGGCCAATGAAACAGCCATCAACACACAGCCTGAGCTGGAAACCCTTTTTTCCATGGGCAGGAGGAACTGAAATCCATTTGGGCACCGTCAAGCCAGATGGGATACCTTCTAGTGATTTGAAATAAATATCGTGGGTTTCTAGTCCAAAAGAACAAAAATATGGGGCTTGTTCCAGAATCACGGAAACGTCAGCAGGCCCCAAAAGGCAAGGGCCAGACTGATGTCTGGAACTCGTAAATTCGATCCCCGATCCCCAGCCTTGGCCCGTCTACACTGGTTTGTATACTCAGTTCAAGGTCCTGGTTACAACCTATAAAGGTCGAAATGGCTTAGGGCCTTGATCCTGGCCAGAACGTTTCCCAAAACACAGCTTCCCATGCTATACTCTCCTCTCCGTCCACCAGGTTAAAGTTGGCAACGACAAGAGAAGCTAGAAAGGAAACTGTGAGGAGTCGGGCTTTCTTTCGGATAGCCCTCACTTTGTGAAACAAACGGCCGGTTGAGATATGCCAGGCTCCCTCCCTCCCAGTCCCATCTTCAAGAAACGGCCCGACAGATTTATATGATAGAATTATAGGGCAATATATAAATACTGTATTTTTCTGTATATAAGACGACCCAATTTATAAGACGGCCCCCACTTTTCTAACCCCAAATTAGAAAATTTGATCCCTGCTTTCCCCCTCCACTTCCTAAGCCCCGCGGGGCTGTGGAAATCAGCGATGAAAGGACTGCAGGATCAAAGGGTTGCAATCCTGCAACGCTTTGATCCCTTCCCCCCTTACTTCCATTTATTAGACGACCCTCAGTTTTTAGTCTAAGGATTTTGAATAAAAGTATCATCTTATACATGGAAAAATATGATGAATTGAATTGAATTAAGGGACGTGCTGCGGGTTGAACTGCGGGGCCATCAGTTGAAAGGTCGTAAGATCGAATCCACGTGACGGAGTGAGCCCTCGTCGCTTGTCCCAGCTCCTGCCAACCTAGGAGTTTGAAAGCATGTAAAAATGCGAGTAGACGAATAGGTCTCAGTGGGAAGGTCACATTGTTACGTGTCTAGTCGTGTGACCACGGAAAGTGTCTACGGACAACGGCCGGCTCTCCGGCTTACAAACGGGGATGAGCCCCGGCCCCTAGAGTCAAATACGACCGGACTTAAGAGTCCTGAGGAACTTTTACCTTGACTAGATTAAATTAAACAAACAAGCAAGCACACAAGAGGATGAATACAGTCAGGCAGTTATTCCAGCGCACCTCAGTGTTTCCTGCCCCCTTGCATTCCTGCTTGCCCTCTCCTGCCCGCTTCACAATTTCACCTGCGTGGCAAGGAAAGGCCGTCTGTTCTTTCTCCACCCCAGACAATGCAACAAGAGAACTAACTATATATTGGAAGGAAGCATGGGCTAGTTAGTAACCCTGGGAGGATTAATGCCTCCTACCGCTGTTATTTATAGCCAAACTGAGTTTTGCACTGTTTTCATGTTGGTCTTGCAAGCGCCCGACCTGTGCTGCAGAGCCGCCTTGGGCCAGCGGGTTTCGAGAGAGGTACCTGGAGGAGGATCTGCCAGTGTTCCCTGCTGTATAAAATGCAGACTATCAGTCGTATGAGTAGAGATCAAAGATCATAACTGAAGACAGAAAGAACTCAACTCGCGTGTGTGTGTGTGTTGGGGGATGGTGTTTTCTCTATGCTGTTTATTAACCGCTTCTCCTATTCCATAGAGACCCTTCCAAGCATTTCCTTGAAAAAGGATGGCAAAAATGAGGGTCTCAATAGACCATCTTGGCCCATCTAGCCCTTGTTTGTCTGTTGGCTTTTTCAGGAGGTGTTCAAGGAACGGATCGGCTATTCCCATTTGCACGAAGTTCTGAAGAGCCAGACCCAGCCTACCAGGCGGCTCCTGCAGGAACTCCTGAACATGGTGAGATATGGAGTCCTTTTTTTTTTCTTGCATCGTAGAAATATTGTTCCTTCAAAAGCAGGAGAGGTGAAGCACCCCCAGAATATCACGGCTTGAGCTTCTGGGCACATGAGGCTGTTGACGATGACAAAATCTAAATTCTGCCACCTGGAAGTGGAAGGGATTTTAGGATCTGAGAAGGAGCCCGTCTAGAACAGCCAAATCGAGACTGAGCGTGTTCTCTAGCCACAGAACCCTTGCATAAAAGGACACGGCAGGAGAAAGGTTGATGATGCTACTGAACATGAATACTCCACGCTGCAACATTTTAGCACAGCTCCCCCTTGCTCTGTGCACATTTCACCAAGTTTGCTCCGTTTCGATGTGTCAGCTTTCCAGACACAATGTGCTCCTATAGGTCTGCCTTTTATTTCTTTAATAGCACTTTTCTTCATCCTTTCTGATAAACAAAATACCTCTCAAATTGGCTAGCAAACACACACACCCCCGCCCCGCCCTGTTATCGTGGACTTGGAGAAAATGAGTTTTTCTTTAGTTCTGTGTTCAGAAAACTTTCAGGGCCTGCTCCAAGGGAGCTGGGAGATCCACTGTTGGCGAACCCCTTTTCTGGCCTTTGAAGACGTATTCTGCTTGTCACACAGAACCAAACTGGTCAGTCTCCATCTCAGCATTTTAAGAGACTCAGGTTGGGTTTATGGAGCCAGCTACGCCGCCCCTCCCCCCGTAGCCCATTGCATTTTGGTGGGAAAGCAATTAGTTCATCTCGTTTAGTGGTTCTCAACTGTCTTCCAAGCTGCAGCTCCCTTTGATAATAGCCAGGGACCGGGTGACCCCCTTGCCACATTGGCATAAAAAGGCATTTTTAACGGGGCAAAGCCACCCCTTCTCGGAAAGCAAAGGCTTCTTTCTCCCACAAAGGGCCTGTTCTTCATACGTACATGCTAACTTTACTGTTCGGCTCTGAAATGTCAAGGACGAAATTATTTAACAAGGGCTGCAATGCATATAAGGTGACATATGGAAACACAGACACACACACACACCCAGAAAACACTTTGTGACACCCCTTCAGAGGCTCAGCCTCAAGGCTGGGAAACACGAATCTCTTTGGAATATCAGAATTTTCGGCCCGCCGCCAAAGTGATGCAGACAAATGAATTGGAAGTCTTTGTTTTTTTCCCCCTGTGAGGATACATTAGCGCAAGGGAAGAGGTTTCCTTAACTGAATCCTGGGGAGTTTGATTTTTAAGATCTGCTTTTTGCTCCTTTTCTCTCAGGCCGTCGAAGGCGACCACAGCGCTTGGCCCGTGCGCCCGATCCATAACGAACAGCCGCTCCTGATTCTCGTCACGTGGATTCCGGAGCTGAAGTCCCGCGACCTTCAAGTCTTCCTTTCGGACTGGCTCAGAAAGATCTGCGACGCGTCCCTCCAGAGCCAGACCACGTGTGTGAAGGCCGGGATGGTCCGCTGTCTCTTGGACGCTCTGTGCGCCGCCCAGCCGGAGCTGGACGAGAAGTGCAGCGAGAATCTCCTCTACCTGTTGCGGGTGCTGGGATCCCTCTCCATCCGGCCGGGCGAACTGAAGCAGCTCCTTCGGCTGCTCCGGACCGAGCCGGGCCAAGGGGCCCATCCGTACACGGCCCAGGTCATCCGGGCTCTTTCGGGGATGGCCCGGAAAGACGGGCCGGAGCGAGCTCTGCACTATTTCGACCTCACCCCCGGCATGGCCGGGATCATGGTGCCGGCGATTCAGAAGTGGCCCGGAAGCGGCTTTGCCTTTCACGCCTGGGTGTGCCTTCTTGAAGAGGCCAGGGACCCTTCCGAGGACGCGGGCAGGCTGAAGCGAAAGCAGCTGTACAGGTTGGGTCAGAGGGGAAGGGGTTGGGGGGGGGAGAAGCTGTGAAGGGGCTGTGGACTAAGCTAAAGCTTCTGTGGGGGGAGGTCAAGAATGCTCTGGGTTCCCCCTCAAAAATCAGTCCCCCCAAAAAAACCATACGCCTCCAGGTTTTACAAAGTTCTCAGTGCTGAAGTTCACTTCACCCACTTCCTCATCACTGAATCCTTGTAACAACAACACTCCATTTCTCCCATGCTGGCCACGATGGCTTCCTATATTTCTAGTGTGTCTATTGTTCCTCTTAATTTTGATTTGCTCTATGTGTCTTGTATTACCATATTTTTCAGTGTATAAGACTATACTTTTGTCTAAAATTTTTAGAATAAAAATTGAGGGTCGTCTTATACACGGAAATAAGCTGAGGAGAGAAGAAACACAAGTGGAAGGGAAAGCAGGGATCAAAGTGATCCTGCAGTGCTTTGATCCCTTTTCCCCCTACACTTGCTAAGTCCCACTTAGATTTCTTAATTTTGGATTAGAAAGGGGGGGGGGCGTCTTATACATGAGGGCATCTTAAACATGGGAAAATACGGTATTCTTTGGGTTGGGGTTTGGGAGATTTTCTATGTGGATGTCAACTTTCCGGAGTCATGGACTTCCACTAGATGGGTGGTCACTAGATGGGTGGCGTAGAAATGAAATGAAATGGAAATAAATGCCGGCAGAGGCTTCTCTAGCTGAAGGCTCTGTTTTTGCAAACGTCATCGGTTTGCACACGAGAGAGTTTGAGGCCAGCGTGAAAGGACTGGGGGGGTCCTCTCTACGGCTTCTGTGGGCCAGGGTCCACGGTCACCAACCCCGTCCGCTTTCTGTCTTTCCTTGGCTCCTCACCCAGCTTCTTCACAGCCAGCGGGACCGGCTTTGAGGCCTTCTTCACCACCGAGGGGATGCTGGTGGTCGCCGTCTGCACCAAGAAGGAGTATATGACTGTCGCCCTGCCCGAGTTTTGTTTCAGTGACGCAGCTTGGGTGAGTGCAAGGTGGGCGGGTTTGGGCTGAAGGTTCTCACGGGCTGGACCGTCATGTAAGGATGAAGCTCAAGGGACAGGATGCCAGATTTTTGGCTGAAGATCAGGAAAAACCTCCTAACTGTTAGAGCAGTACAATGACAGAACCAATCACCTGAGGGGGATGTGATGAACGCTCCAACATTGGAGTCTTTCAAGAGAAAAATGGGACCACCCTCTGTCAGATCGGCTTTGACTCAGATTCCTGCCTTGAGCAGAGGGTTGGACTGGATGACCTTACGGGCCCCTTCCAACTCCATTATGCTAAGGTTCTATGAGTCTATGAAAACCCAGCCCACCTGTGGATTGTACCACCACCATGTCTCTTCTCATGCTTCTCCTGTATCTCTAGCAAAGTGGGGCCTCTTCAAGGCTTAGATTGTGTATGGAACTTACATAGACTTTGCCAGAACCCCCCAAGTTTCAAGGCCAAAGACACCTTTGCTGTTTGCTGGGTTTAGCATCAGAGATTACATCTGAGCTGATCCAGAAAATGGGAATTTGATTCCTCCACGGTGCCTCCTTGGCAGGGGTCCCTTCCATCTCTGCAGTTCTAAAGATGTTACTGGGTTGTCAAAGCGCCGATGGTGTTTCACTTCCTGCAGACTGGCACCGGGTTTGACCAAGTAGGGGTTGGCTTCCCTGGTTTCTTCATGTGAACCTGCTTTCCACAAAACCCTAAGACATGTAGATGCTTTTGGGCCGAAAGGCATCGCCTGGCATCCATCGGTCACCGCCTCTTTCCCCCTCTTCTTTCCAGCATTGCGTCGACATCGTCCACATTACAGGCCGCCGTCCGTTCGGCCAGAACCTGGTGAATGTCTACGTGGACGGGCAACTCCGGAAGGTGGCTCAGCTGCGCTGCCCCTCCCTTGGCGAGGTAACGGCGCCGGCGGCTGCCCCCCTTTTCAGGGGAGAGAGAGAGCCGTTCAGCTTCAGGCTGTCCCACGGACATTTTGAGGGGGTCGGGGTGGAGAGTCCTAAAGGGATCAAACGCTGGAAGAGGAAGAACTGGGAGGTTCTTACGATGATGGGCTCCTGGGGTTAGGGTTATGTGGAAGCCTTTGCTTAGAGGTTGGTCCTCCCCACCCGAGTAGACCACCTTGGCTGAGCTAGGCTGTTGGGACAACAAGCAGAAACAGGAGAATTTAGGTTTTGGACTACGAGGGAAGGCGAAATATCTTCTGCAAGAAACAGGGCCTTCTTCACAGTGGCCCCCGAGACGCTCTGGAACCAGCTCCTGGGGGTTGTCTGTGCCTGGCCCCCTCTCCCCCTCCCCCATGCTTAAGAGGCTTCTAAAAACAGCCTTCTTTAGGGAAGCCTCCTATGACATCCCTGCCTGATTTTATATCTGACTTTCTGCCTCGTCTTCCGCCTGATCTGATAACGGATGTCCAGCTCCTTGTATTGTGTTTTATAGTCTCTTGGTTTTATTCATTCGTTTGCTATTTATTTATTTATTCCATTTGTATCCTGCTCCCATTAGTGTCGCGGCATGACACCCGGGTGGGTTACGACGTGTGTGTGATAGAAAACAGAAATAGAAACATTAAAAACGGCAACAACAACCACACAAAAAAAAACCCCATATGTGGCACCTGTTGTTGCGGGTTGATATTTAATTTTGCCGTAAACACCCTCGAATAGTGTGTTGCACGAGTGGGGGCAATGTATAAATTAATGAAATGAATTATAATGACTGAATAAAGTGCAACCTGCAGAACAGCCCAGCTAGCATCCTGTTGGGACTTTTGGAAATGGACTTTTGGTGAAATTTCTGAGTTTCTCCCCCCAGGTGGGGAACACCCAGCCTGGGTGAGGATCCGTTGCCTCCACCTTGAAGGAGGAAAACGTGACACCCCGAATGAAGGGGACTCAGCCGCTCCTAAATCCCCTTCCTCCGCCTCTCACTTCTCTGTTCCCCCCAGGCCTTCGCGTCCTGCTGCATCGGCTCTGCTGGCCACCGGACGACCACCACGTCCACCATCTACCCCTCTCCATCTCACTCCCTGGACCTGGGCTTCGCGTCCCACCCCTCGCTGAGCCGCTCTCAGTCTTTCCCGGCTTCGCTGGCGCCCCACGCCTGGACGCCGATCCCTGCGCAGCCCCCCAAGGAGAGCTTGGTGTCCACCATCGCCGCGGGCAGCCAAGACACGGAGTGGGGGACGCCCACGTCCCTCGAGGGTCACCTGGGGTCGGTCTCCATCTTCTACGAGGCACTGCAGCCCATGCAAGTGAAGTCTCTCTTCTCCTCAGGTAAGGGGCCAAGGATCCCAGGGCGTGGTTCTGCCTTGCTCACCAAACCCCCATCTGAGTTCCTGGTTCAGACATGGGCATCTCAGCCCACTAGTTCCAAGCGAGGTCCTTCTCTTCCAGCATTATGGGAAGAGCCACACGGCTGCAAAAGACAGCCCCAAATCCATGGGAGAGATTGGGGGGGGGAGTCCCTGCAGATGTATACCAGGCTCCCTCTCTTGTTTACCTTCAAGAAACATGTAAAATCCAGACTTTTTAAGGAGGCCTTCAGAACCATCCTACTCCTTTGCTTTTTTCACTGTCCTGCCTGATTGTACTTTAATTTAGTTTCCCAGTGCCTTTGGGGGGGGGCTTTTGACTCGTCGCTTTTATGGTTTTGGTGCTTTCTGTTGGTGGGCGGGGACATGGGTGGCTTCTGTGTTTATTTGCGGTCAGCTGTCCAGAGTGGAGGTTTGCCACTAGATTGTTGTTGTTGAATCATTTAGTTGTGTCCAACTCTTCATGACCCCGTGGACCAGAGCATGCAGGCCCTCCTGTCTTCCACGGCCTCCCCGGGTTTGGCCACTAGATGGTGGGATATCAATG